AGCATTTATAGCCGAGAGTTATGTGCAGAACAAACCAGTGTCCAATGTTATGTAACGTTTCAATCAACACTTCAGCAATTATCATCAACTAAACATAACTGTAATGTTAGATGTTACAATTGCATTCCCACTCTGCAAATATGTGAAATATCACTCTCAGAACAAGTTAAAAAAATAAAATGAGTTAAAATTATCGAACAAAGCCTCCTAACTAATTGTGTTGTTAATAAAAGAAACATACTTACTTGGGTCAGTTGAGTCAAACCAGAATGATAAGTCATGAAATTTCCATAGTTTCCCTTTATTGCATCGGTATTCTTTGTCACAACAACATTGAACTTCTTTCGATGAACCAATAAGAACACATCCATCATCTTCTTTAATATTTGATGAATCATGTTTATCACAGGGACACTTTAAACTGTGCTGATATGATAAACCAGGCCTGTATTTCTTGATGATTTCGTTTAGGTTATCATCTACAGATTTTCTGATTTCTGGACCACAGCGTGACTGATTGGAACTCTCATCATCATCATCATCATCATCATCATCATCATCATCATCATCATCATCACCATCACCATCACCATCACCATCACCATCACCATCACCATCACCATCACCATCACCATCACCATCACCATCATCAAGACGTTGAAATGTCACTGTCAGGACTATGTCAGAATCTTCCTTCTTTAGAGTAATGATAGTTGAGGCATCCCAATAATACTGTGCTGCATGTTTGGATAATTGTGGTGGATAAGACTGACATGGCTGTTTTGACTGACTTTTCAATACAGATACACACCTCACCACTAACTGATGGAAAACTGCACTGGGGAGAAAATTGTCTGGAAAGTGATAACGTAGAGGAGGACTTGTTGTTGTGTTGGGTTTATCTTGAATAGTAGATGCGTTGCTGGTCAGCATACATGGCATTATAAATTCTCGCTTGCCTGGTTGTACTGGTTGTGATTGTTTTACTTCACAAATAATATCAAACTTCTTGAATAATTCAATCAAGATATTCTTATCTACTTGTCGCTTCTTTATTACCAACACCTTATCCAAAAGCTCTTCACTCAATTTACCATGTTCTTGTAAGGGTTTAAGTAACCTTCTTTGGTCTGGAGGAAGATCTTTTTTCAATGTGTAGGTGATAACAATTTTGAACAAGTCGGCAAACCACTCCGGTTTAATACCAACTTCCTCTTCCAGACGAATCATCTCCCCAATATTGTAGTAAAACTCCAGCGCCTTGTTACAGTCCTCTTCCTCCATGTTAATAGCCTGTGCTATCTTACGAGTCTCTTTGTTTGTCTTAATAGGCCTCTCTTCATTAGCAACTGTTTTTTTTAGTTGTAGTTCGAACTCCAACCAATTGCATTTAACTTTATATTTGAACCAATACGACGTTAAAATCTCCTTGAGTTTATCTTGAAGCAATGAAATACTACCACTCTTCTTATCACCACCACCTATGGAATGAACCACTAGTCGATCCTTATTGTTGATGGCATAAAGAGCTGTGATTTTCTTGGTTGCCTCCTCAGAAATTACGTCTAACAGAAAGTCATTAATTTCATTCAGACGTGTCACAGCCTCTTCCTGAATAAATATAAATGAGCAATGAGCTAAGGCTGAACTAACACAGGTTATTAGTAGCCAGCGTGTTCTGTGTGGCAATTTCCCACACTGTGTTTAATGAAAAGAAAAGTACAAAAGATCATATTGATTTCAAGATGTTGGGTCTGTGGGCTGTTTTGCGAATTGTGAGAAGACAGTGAGATAGTGTGCTGGGACAATGAAAGCATGGACTAGTTATGCACAAAAGTGTGAATGGTTGAGTGACCGACATGAGCCCAAGTTAAATGCCAAGGGTTAAACTGATGAATTTAAGCCTAATGGACAGACATGGAAGACAAGCAGAATATTAATATGAAGGTGTGCCAGGGTCATTTATTAGCATTGACACTGAATATATAAGTGTCACATGTCGCCTAATAGTGACCCTCAAAACAAGATTTACAATTCAGTGGGAATTACAAATGAAAGCTGTGAGTGAATAACGATTGAAGTACATGATGGATGCAATATAGACTGGAGGTGACTGGTAAATTTGAATAATTGACTGGTATGAATTGCGAGTATGTGAAATCAGCAAAAAGCTTATGCAGGTTCAAACATTGAAATGAAGGTCTTAATATCAAATATCATATCAGAATAATATCAAAAGTCATTGTAAGTGCCCAAGTTGGTTGGCTTAGTTCAGAAGTTAGGTGTGGTTGGTAAGGATCCTTGTTACCGCATGAAGAGTGGTGGCTGGTGTCTTAATGTAGAGCTGCTATGAGTTGCTGGGCCATTGTTCAAGGGTCTTGATGAGCAAGTTAGGAAGGTTGGCTTCCACAGCTGTTGTGGTAGCTCAATCCAGAGCCAAAACTATGTGATGAGTATATTTCAGCGCTCAGGATTACTGATTGCATAAGAAGTTCTGATTGAGTCTGTTATGCTTTGAAGTGTGAGATACTGATGCTGGTATGCTTGCACTGCACAAATTGAGGAGCCAGATGAAAGGATGTTTAGTGTGTGGCCACGTCAAAATGGTCATTCTTGTTCGCCTTAATGTTGACGATGATGGTGCTACCAAGGCTGGCGTCGGATCTCAGTAGTGTGCAGTCAGGATCAAATATTTTTCTGTTGGTGAGGTAAATTTGCTTACTCGTAGAAACGTGAAGAAGGCAATGGTTAATGCAGCCAATAGCATCAATAAATCTCTCAAGTCCATATTGAAGCATTGGCGTAACTGATTTTTGAGTGCTCAGGTTAATTGAAAGGTTATCGGTAGTTGTGTAGCTGTAAGGTCACCAATTTGCTTCTTGAAGCCCTGGAGCGTGCAAAGCAGGGGATGATCTTCTGGTAACCCTGGGTACTCTATCTCTGCGTGGTGTTATAGGGTGACAGCAAGATACACTTTGATTGTTTTATTTGTCAGTTAGAGCGAAGCTTGATGTGTGATGAAGAGGATGGCAGAGCAGGACCTGCCACTGGTGCTGCAGATATGTTGATGACTGTGTATGCATGGTATTGTGCATGTTTCCTGATTGAATTTTTAGTGAAGGTATTGGAAAGTTAGCCATTGTTTTGAGGATCACTGAAATTGTCTTGAGTGTTGATCATTTTGCTTCATAGTGCTGGACATGTTTCCCCTTTATCTTCATTCGTAACACAGTGGTAGCAGTGGATGTGGGTGCTGCTGAACGTAGGTATATCCCATCGATGGGTCAGGTACACTCTGATTGCGAACGTTGGGATAGCGGGACACATCTTTTTGAAAAGCCTTATCAAATGCCATGCTTCTGGTTTGTAGATTTCAGAATTCTTGCCAATGATTTGGATATAACTGGTGAAATTGACTGCTTCTTGCCGGAAATAGAATTGGTGATTGACCAAAAAGTGGACATACAGCTGCCAGGTGTATTAATGGACTTGATTTTGCTTTGAGAGGTTATTGTAGCGACACATGGTTGAAGAGGCATAGTTTGGTCATTGGTTGTCAGGACACAGGGTAGAAAGATCAATAAACTCACCACAATTTGCAAGTGCATAAAAAAAAAAAAAAAAAAAAAATTTGCAAGTGCATTCAGTGTTGACTGCTATATGTTTGTGAGGTGGAGCTCAGGAGGCGTATACCAGATGGTAACTTGCTGATTGTTGGTCCTGAGTTATAGTTGTAGTTATTGACTGGAAGGGTTTGATTGATGTCTGTACAGTCAGTTATAATGACAGTATTGACATTAATGGGAGCTGCCAAGTTGTTGGAGAGTTGACAATCGGGAACAAAAGTTGGTGTGCTTCCCAGAGACAGAAAGAGGTTTGAGTAATGGTGGCTAGATTGTTTACCATTTGTGTTGTGTGTACCATAGTGGTTTGCCTTGTCACCGTTGGTTCTGTGGTGTGGGTAAGGTCAATATAATGGAGGCAAAAAAAGGTAAAGTGCCAGATTCAATTGTGTATTGAAAGTTGGTTTTGGAAACAAACTATCAAAGCTTTGAGGTAATGTGCCGTCCGGTTGGGACAGCAGGTTAAGTAAGTCCGGAAGCACTACTGGTGTTTCGACAAGCATTTCCAACAGAAGTGGAAACTAGGCCTTGGTTGGCCAATTGGGTGCGACCAATGACAATATGCATGTGTGCATGTTTTCTCTGGTGCCTGGTGAACTAGCGGGAAGAGAGGAAAGGTGTACACATCTATGTGGGTCCACAGATCAGCAAAGCGACCCTAGCCCAGGCTCCTGGAGTCGGCAGGAGTATTGCGTAGGTAGGGAGCTTGGCGTTCCGTGGTGTGGCAAACTTTTATCTTTGAACCATCCCACAGACAAAACGCCTCGAAAGGGCGTCTGCCAGACTGTTTCTCACCCCTGGAAGGTGGTGTGCGGTTAGCTCCACATTGTATTCCAGGCACTAAAAAAGAATTGCTCTGCTAGGACTGACAACAATGAGGAACGCCCCCCCTCCTTGTTGAAGAAGACCATCGCTGTGTTCTCTGTGCGGAGCAGGACTCTGTAGTCTCGACCTTCGGGTAGAAAGCATAGTACAGCTAAGTGTACTGCTTTCAGCTCAAGCCAGTTGATATGGTGGTCCCGAACCCAATGCGGGGGCCATATTCGTTGGGCAATAGATGCGCTCCCCAAACTTGGAGGGAGGCATCTATTACCAGAGTTATAGCTGTGGCGAGTTGGTCCATGGGAACCCCCTGTCTGAGGTTGGCCAGTGAAGACCACCAGGGCAGAATTTCCTTCGCTTGGTCCAAGATCAATACCCGTCTGTCTAGTTCCCGTAGGTGAGCTCAGTGTTGTAACAACAAATGTTGTACTGGGCAGCTGCTTAGCGCCAAGCAACGCACCTGAGATGGGCAAACCAAGCCAAGCTCAGTGTCAAACTCCATGCCCAGAAACACCAACTGTTGTGTCGGGTAGGGATGGGACTTTGTCTGATTTACTAAGAGCCCAACTGGTGAAGTAAATCCTGTGCTAGCCTTACTAATAACCCCTTGTTTGGGTTATGTAATAACCAGTCGTCTGGGTCCGATAGATGTGTACCGACGATTGGTGAAGCAGCAGCACCACCTGTTTCATCCATTCCGGTGAAACGTAGGAGGCTGTGCATAACCCGAAGGGGGGGCACCCGAGATTCAAATACTTGGCCCAGCTGGACGTCTCGAAAGAGATGGCAACTCGCCGGGTGCATCGGTATGTGTAGGTATGCTCTGCTTAAGTCTAGTGAAGCTAGCCAGTCGAAACAGTGGATGGAGAGAAGAATGCTGTATGGCGTCTCCATGTGAAACCGATCGAGGAGCACATACCGATTCAGTCTGTCTAAGTCTAGAACTGGACGCCCGCCACCTGTAGATTTGGTACTACAAACACATTTGAGTAGCAGCATGAACTGATTGCCTCCACCTTGCAGGAGTCCTCTGGCAGTGCCCCCCAATGGGGGAGACACTGACGGGAGAGATGAAGATTTCAGCGGTATCCTGTAAATGTGCGTCACCACATGGAAAAGTTCAGGGATCGATCATCCGCTGCCTCCAACCGAACTACACTGGCGCAATCTGTGTGCAACAGGGATATGTGGCCATGAGTCCGGCCAGGAGAGCCAGGTGACACAAGAGGATATAGCACATAGCTGTGTGCCGGCCAACTAATAAAAGAGTCACCTGGTCTAGGAGGTTGGTGCGTTCTGCCTCTGAGGTCTCAGAGTCCTGGGCGCGCACAATAATGCGCTCCAGCAACTCTGCCCTCAGGGCGTGATGGGTCGTCTTAGGTTGAGCTGGCAAGAACGACCATGGAACGCAGCTGTTACCCTTTACCCGGTTTTCCAAACAGAAAGTCGCGGTACCGGGGACTGGGGATGCGCCATGGGATCCGGTTTGGGGGTGTTTGGTTTAATCCCACACTTTGGAATCTGATCCCAAACCACACCGACCGGGTAGTGTTTGGTCCAGCAGAAAGCATTTGCACAAGATTTACCACACTCGGAGGCCTTAGATGTTACCTCATCCGTGGCTGACCAGCGCCCGCCCATCAACATCGTCTGTGCGCACTGTGCCCCACTCGGCACTCGGGCCAGGGGAGACCTGTTGACGAGGTTGCTTTGGATCCCGGCGTCTGTGATCCTATAAGCATTGAAGCAACAGTAAGTGGTAGCCTTAGGATCGAGGGTGGGGGTATATACTAAGATAGATGATACTCCACATCACCCTAACGGCGTGGCTCACCGAGTCCTTACGAATGGAGGACTCCGAGGGACTGCCTGAGGTACCGGCTGTATTTGACGCGGACGAACTGCCTCCTTTCAACTTAAATATGTGAGCGAGAGAGTGTTTGACTGTGCGTCTCATGACAGGGTCGGTTCCCTCCGAGGACGCCTGTGGGTCAGCAAGAAGGGAGTCAAAACCCACATAAATTCCCAAGTCCGATACCGTGTGACAAACCCTGGCTGGCTTAGAGTAGGGGAGATGCGCAACATGTGCCCTGACCCGAAAGCCCTGCCCTGAAATTGGAGGCTTGGCTGCCAGCAACCCTGTTGGTATTCAGTGCCTGAGGTTCCGGAGGAGACCTGGTGCAACTAGCCTGAGCCTTGGCCTCACCCAAAACAACAGGAGAGTCGTGGCTGGGAATGGGGGGGTTCTCCGGAAGAGACATGTTTTGAATGCAAGAGCTTTCTGTGTTTCTTCCTGTTTGCCGGTTGAGGGGCCACAGTGGAGACAGCTCGCTCCGACTGCATCTGATCTACCCGACCTGCCGAAGACGCAATTTGCCCCTGCAGTCCTTCGACCAAAGCCCTCATTTCAGAGGCAAACCCGGCACCATGCGAGGACGGATCCACAAAGGAACATGCAATGAGCCCAATAGGAGTAAAGACCTCCAGGGGCACAGTTTCGTCATTGTCGGTAAAATCGGGTAAACCACTGCCTGAAAAAACAGATTGTGAAGATGCCCTCCGGTCAGCGAGGGGAGACCAACAAATATTGGTACTTCCGTTGTCAGGCTGAGTGTGAGGACTTTCCACTCATCCCAACACGCAACAGATTTTAACTGATTTTTACTGGACGCGCAACTTCACTGTGAAATATGTGCGACGCGGTCAGTTTCAGCAATTTTGCATGGCTCTGGAAAACATCACAGGACTCATAACCCCAGTGAAAACGCACGCCTTCAAGGCAAAAAACCCCGAACAGTGCACACAGACACGACAAAAATAGCATTTCGGATGCGGGTTCCATGTTGGTATATTTTGAATATAACCACTGCACAGTCGCCTTAAAACAATGAGGAGACAAAAACTGGCGGTGAGTCTCTGCCGCTGTCATTAGATCTATCCATTTCGAAATACATAGTATACAAATAAAAATGAACACAACATGCATGAGGGAAGTGAAATACAGTTGGAAAAGGTGACATCAAGTAAAACAACAACATCGTTAATTTGTGTCGCCGGGTTTTATTTCGTTGTTGTAAAATATTATACACACAAAGGGGAAAAACAACACTGGGGAAAAAATAAGAAAAACTTATCCTACCAGCCAGTGTCAACTGCCACACGAGCGGCAGCAACCCAAGCCAGAAACTTGGACAGAAAAAGGCAGGCCTTCCAGGCAGAGCCACTATACTTCATCCCAGTCGGTACAGAGATAAAGAGTGAATTATACAGGATAAGATGGCGCACCACATTACCTCGTTCATGTGGTTCGTGACGTAAGAGAAAAATATCTTGGTGTCATGGGGTGTTCCCTGACCTAGATTTTAGCTCTCTGTCTCTCCGTCATTGCTCATTAATGCCTACAGTTCAAAATAGTCATTTTGACTGACTGGAGTCTATGGTGGGTAATTGAACGTAGTGAATATATCACTTTTTAACAAAAATTACAAAGGTATTCACCAAAATTAGAGAATTGAAGATATCATCATGAAATGAACAAATCTCAGGGAGGTCTACCCAAGGTACATATACACTTCATTCAGTTTCCAAGGAGAAGTTGAAAAGTGAAAAGTTGACACGGACGCTGATGGACAATCACTCATATAATAAGCTTTGCTCGACAAACTCGACAGTGGAGCTAAAAAGCTGTCTCGCATGCACACTGTGGCAAGCTTCCTACAAGACTACAAGCTCTATCCTTCAGTGATATTTTAGCAGACTTTCACTCTGACTCAGCTGCCACCTGATGGACTAACCACTTCTTTAGGACAAATAACCGGCCTCCCCTACAAAAAAGGGAGAAGCAGACCTAGTGTGCACACTCAAGTGAACAATGGCATCCTAGGGGACTCAGCATCAAAAGTTTGCATATGCCAAACAGATGAAAAACAGCAGTTGCCAGCGAGTTGTGACATACTTTCCAGATGGGTTCTGGAAATGATCAACTTTGCATACTCAAATGTGGATGCCAGAAAATACATGATCTGAGATATCTAGTTAACTCCCATGCATTTTGTGCTGGCATCAGGGTCTCATTGATTGGGTCTGATCATTGCAGGTCGCAGATTGACAAACTCACACACATGCACAATGACTTACTGCTGGACATTCTGTTGGTCTTAGGGTGACAGCGGTGCTAGAGGGGCTGCTTCAGGTAGGCCCCTTGTGTATTAGTCACTTCAATCACTTACACTACTGGCACATCAGCTTCTGTACTTTTACACAGAAACGTGGAATTAAACTAAATATTCTACCGTAATACCCATAATCGCTGGAGGTGCCTAGGATTATTTTTTTATTCTGGGGGTAAACTGGCTGGCAGTAATAAGACCCACTCTGACTAACTTAGACAAATATCTGACATATAGTATTTGCAGTGACTAATAAACAAGGGGGCTAGCTGTAGCAGCCCCTTTATTTTGGATTATGTCAGACAGGAACTAATAATATACATGTACCTGTGATATCTTATCTGCTTTAGTTGCAACAATTACTATCTTCGGGTACTCATCATCTTCATTTTGTGCAGCATATGTCAGTATTGTATTTACCCAGTAGAGAATAAATTCTAAAATAAGAAATGTAAAAAAAAATTGTAGTTATGCACATCATGTTTAGAAACAATAATAGTAACAGTAAATATATATTGATGCATATGCATTTAGCAACAATTTTGGACAACATACCGTACTTGTTCGATGTTATATTAATTATTTTAACTCTATTGAAAACAATTTTGTTTCAAATAATGTTAATAATGACATCTCAGCATTCAATATAAACAAACCATGACATAACAAGTAAATCAAGCACACAATAAAATGATCAATTAGTAAATGAAAACAATTATTTTTCATATATCATATTTAGTTCAATGTGTAATTTGCAAATTCATATTTATGATGCAAAGGCGAAAGAATATGGAATACATTCAATTAAAACAGCATAATTTGACATTTTGATAAACCATATAAGTATCAAACAAATCTGCC